TGTAACAAATAACGAAACCACAGTTATATGAACACCTGTGCTAACTAAGCTGCACAATGCAGTGGCGTGAGGTGGGGGTCGAAAAACGTCACCATGGACCTGTTTCCAACCATATTCATCGCCGAGCTCCCGCTCCTAATAAAAAAATGAAGGCTGTATTATGTAATCAATGGTTAATTAAATCAACGCAGAGGCGAATCTTAATAAGGAACATGGAGGTGAAAATACTTCACAAGAACAAAATAGAATAACATAATCGGTGGAAAAAATATCCATAACTGTTACGTTTGAAAATATAATTTTATTTAATTTACAAATATATATATATATATATATAACACAAATTTCGTGAATAAACAGCAAGACTGACCAAATCCTCCAAAGCTTCTTCCTTGTTGTAGCGTGCGTAGTCCTTGCGCAAAGTGCGCATTAAAATCATGGATACTAAGGCAACCAGGAAGATAACCATCATAAATGAGTTGAGAATAGAAAACCAATGAATCTAAAATTGCCAGAAATAATAACTATATCGATGGATTAAAAATTAAGCCTTAATTTATACTTACACGGTGCTGGAAGAATTCTGCGTCAAGATACTTATCGAAACGATTTTCAAACGTAGCTCTGGACGGCACCCATGAAACCTTGATTAATGATAGCAATTCAATCATAAACAAGAAGTAATAGAACGAAGTTAGAAATGGAGTAACTAACACCAACCTCATAGGCAAAGCTAAGTGTTATACCAGGCTTTAGAGCAACTTTGTCACCACTGGTGAGATTTACATCAACAATACGATCCCCATTGTAACCTATAGATACCTTTTTGTGGGTCCATATGTAGTATTCTTCGTTGGCAACCTCACCAACAATCCCCCACACCGGTAGATCATCAATATACATTTGATACCAATATTGGTTTTTTATTGAGTATAACAGAAGCTCAAGATCTTCGCTGCTCAGGATTCTTTCACAATATGGCCGTTTAGTAACATCAACTATGAGCATTTAACGAGGACTCAGTAGAATTACCTTTGAATCTTATATCTAAACCACTAAAGGCGAGTTCGAACCCTTGAAGTGCTTCACCTAAAGTTTCATGATAGTGCTCAATTCCCTGTTTTGGACCTTTGCAAAATGGCAGGGAGAAGAAGTTATAGGTCTCCTGACGGTTGTGATATGGTCCCACCGTGTTCATCCACA